CTACAAACTACACATGTAAACACATCTTAATTATCTAGTATATACACAAACATTTAACACTATATTGCTTGAGTTTCTAATAAAGGATATGCATCTTTAATCAAACCTAATTCTTATTTCTAGAAAACAACCATTTCAACATCACTAAAACCAACAACATTACAGTCAACGGTACAAACTACGCAGCATACAACAGAAAGGTCGACAGTTGAACCGACATCGGTGCTCACAACGACTCAAACAACAACTTTGCCTACAACAACAAAAACAACAGAACGCACCACACTTAAACCATCCACAGCATCCACAACGATTGAAACAACCGTACTACCAACCACAGTCATACCTACAACAGAGGAGACAACTGAACAAACGACGGAAAAATCAACCCTACAAACCACACAGGTACAAAGTCTTAAACACTGAACAATGGGTAAATTAACGATGAAATTATGCTGTTTAAGAATACAATGCAATACAACAATTTGTACCCAAACACAAGCTCCTGTTGTTATTACTAGAAAACAACCATTTCAACTTCCTTAAAACCAACGACATCACGGTCTACAATACAAACAACGCAGCAAACAACAGAAAAGTCGTCAGTTGAACCGACCTCGGAGCTGACAACAAAGCAAACAACCACGTTGCCTACAACAATAAGAACATCAAAACGCTCCACACTTAAACCATCCACAGCATACACAACCATAAAAACCACATTTCCAACAATAGGTCCTACTACAGAAGAGACTACCGCAAAAACGACAGAAAAATCAACCTTACAAACTACACAGGTAAAGTCAAATTGATTTAGTCAATGTTGCGGTTCAACGAACAGTATCTCAAAGGTTGCTTGGATATTTAATATCTTCATCATTACATATATTCTTACTACATTCCAATCATTTCCTTTTCTTACTAGATTACAAATAGCTCAATTTCACTAAAACATACAACATTGCAGGTTACAACAGAAAAGTCATCAATTGCACCGACAGCAAAACTCACTACAATACAATCGACATTGCCTACAAGTATACAAACATCTCAAAGCTCCACGCTTGAACCAACTACAGCATCCACAACTGTCAGAACAACAGTACTACCAACCACTGCCATTCCCACAACAGAGAGAACAACAGGAAAATCAACCCTACATACTACACATGTAAACACATCTTGATATTTCAGCAAGTTAAGAAACTGACTAGTGTCTTGTCTGATTACATCGAAATAAGAATATACATCTTTAATCGAACCTAATTACTTCTTACATGTATTTATAGAAAACAACAATTTCAACCTCACTAAAACCAACATTACAGTCAACGGTACAAACTACGCAGCTTACAACAGAAAGGTCGACATTTAAACCGACATCGGTGCTCACTACGACTCAAACAACAACTTTGCCTACAACAATAAAAACAACAGAACGCCCCACACTTAAACCATCCACAACATACACAACCATCAAAACCACATTTCCAACAATAAGTCCTACTACAGAAGAGACTACCGCAAAAACGACAGGAAAATCAACACTAGAAACTACACAGGTAAAGCCAAGCTGATTCAGTGAATGTTAAGGTTCAACGAACAGTATCTCAAAGGTTGCTTGGATATTTAATATCACATATATTCTCACAACATTCCAATCATTTGCTTTCCATACTAGATTACAACTAGCTCAACTTCACTAAAACACACAACAATGCGGCTTACAACAAAGAGTTCATCACTTGCTCCGACACCAAAACTCACTACAATACAATCAACATTGCCTACAACTATACAAACATCTCAAAGCTCCACGCTTGAACCAACTACAGCATCCACAACTGTCAGAACAACAGTACTACCAACCACTGCCTTTCCCACAACAGAGAGAACAACGGGAAAATCAACCCTACAAACTACACATGTAAACACATCTTAATTATCTAGTATATACACAAACATTGAACACTATATTGCTTGAGTGTCTATAATAGAAATATTTCTCTTTTAATCAACCTAGTTACGTCTTATTTCTAGAAAACAACCATTTTAACTTCACTTAAACCAACAACACTACAATCGACGCTACAAACCACGCAGCTTACAACAGAAAGGTCGACAGTTGAACCGACATCGGTGCTCACAACGAGTCAAACAACAACTTTGCCTACGACAATAAAAACAACAGAACGCACCACTATTAAACCATCCACAGCATCCACAACGATTGAAACAACCGTACTACCAACCACAGTCATGCCTACAACAGAGGTGACAACCGTACAAACGACGGAAAAATCAACACTACAAACCACACAGGTACAAAAACCTCAATCAGCCAACATTAAATAACATGCCGCTTAAGAACACAATTTAATACAAAAACATTAACACATCAGGTAAGAAAACACTGAACGTACATGGCAGGTCAAATATTCATTATAAGAACATGCATTTAGATTTAACCCAAACCATTTTTATCAATACTAGAAATCAACCGTTTCCACGTCAATAAAACCAACAACACAACAGTCAACGTTACAGACAACGCAGCTTACAACAGAAAAGTCGTCGGTTGAACCGACCTCAGAGCTCACTACAAGGCAAATAACAACAACAATGACCACACCAGAACGCTCTACGCTTCAACCATCAACAGCATCCACAACCATCAAAACAACATTTCCAACGATAAGTCCAACTACTGAGGAAACCACCGCAAAATCTACCGTGCAGACTACACAGGTAGAGTGGATTTAGATTTGTCGAACTACTGATATTTAAAAAAAAACAATCGCATTTAATGTAACGTATCGGCGCGCAATAATAAGAACAAGAAGTTGACAAATGTTAACTGTTGTTGACTTGATAGAAAATAACTGATTCAGTTACGCTTCATTGATATCAATGATACAATATAATATCTAAAACAATTGTATTTGGAATTTTATTGTTATTATTAGAAAACGACCAGTGTAACTACACTGAAGCCAACAACACTTCAGTCAACCGTACAAACAACACAACTTACAACGGAGGAGACGTCAGCTGAACCCACAACGGAGCGCACAACAAAACAAACATCGGAACACACCACGTTTCAACCATCTACAGCATCCACAACTATTCAAACAACGATACAACCAACCACTATCATTCCAACAACAGAAAGGACAACTGTAGAAACAACTGCAAAATCAACCCAGCAAACTACACAGGTAAAACAAATCACTAAGTCGGTACATTGTAGATCAACGAACTATACTTCTATTATTGTAAACTCAATATTAGATCGCACATTCGACTCAAATACTAACTATTTGCTGACCTTACAGAAAACAACCAGTTCAACTACACTGAAACCGACAACACGTCAGTCAACAGTACAAACAACACAACTCACAACTGAGAAGACGTCAGCTGAACCCACAACGGAGCGCACAACAAAACAAACATCGGAACACACCACATTTCAACCATCTACAAAATATACCACTGTTCAAACAACAATGCGTACTGTCCTTCCAACAACACAGAGGACTACTGCAGAAACAACTGCAAAATCAACTCTGCAAACTACGCTGGTAATAGTCACGAAATTAGTCAAACTTGTTGGTCATTGTCATTTTACATAGTAGTTTCAATGTATAATGCAAGATTAGAAAACATATCATTTAATACTCAGTCTTAACGATTGTTTTCAACACATAGCAAACAACCATCTCAACTTCAGTGGAACCTACAACACGTAAATCAACGATAGAAACAACGCCGCTTACAACACAAAAGACGACGGTTGCAAAGACCTCGGAACATACAACGCAACAAACGACGGGACAAACAACAATTCAAACATCTGAACGCTCCACGAAACATACAACGCAACAAACGACGGAGCAAACAACAATGCAAACATCGGAACCCTCCACGCTTGAACCAACCACATTATCCACAACAGCTAAAACAACAGTACTTCCAACCACTATTGTTGCAACGACAGAGATAACTACTGCAGGAACGACTGACAAAATCAACCATGAAGACTACACAGGTATAGTTAACTTAATCGGTCAATATTGGAGATCAACAAACTATATATTTCGATTATTGTAAAATGCAACATTAGATTAAACATTCTACTCAAAGTCCAATCACTTTCTGTCCTGACAGAAAACGACCAGTTCGACCACACTAAAGCCAACAACACTTCAGTCAACAGTACAAACAACACAACTTACAACGGAGAAGACATCAGTTGAGCCCACATCGGAACACACCACGTTTCAACCAACTACAGCATTCACAACTATTCAAACAACGGTACAACCAACCACTATCATTCCAACAACAGAAAGGACAACTGTAGAAACAACTGCAAAATCAACCCAGCAAACTACACAGGTAAAACAAATCACTAAATCGGTACCATATTGTAGATCAACAAACTATACTCCTATCATTGCAAACTCAATATTAGATCATTCATTCGACTCAAAGTGCAATTACTTGCTGCCCTTACAGAAACAACCAGTTCAACTACACTGAAACCAACAACACTTCAGTCAACAGTACAAACAACACAACTCACAACTGAGAAGACGTCAGCTGAACCCACAACGGAGCGTACAACGAAACAAACATCGGAACACACTACGTTTCAACCATCTACAAAATCCACAACAGTTCAAACAACAATGCGTACTGTCCTTCCAACAACACAGAGGACTACTGCAGAAACGACTGCAAAGTCAACTCTGCAAACTACGCAGGTAACAGTCATTCAGAATAGTCAAACGTGTTGGTCAGCATCATTTCACATAGTAGTTAATATAGAATGCAAGATTAGAACACATATTTTTTAATACTCAGTCTTAACTATTTGTTTTCAACACATAGCAAACAACCATTTCAACTTCAGTGGAACCAACAACACGTAAATCAACGATAGAAACAACGCCGCTAACAACACAAAAGACGACGGTTGCAAAGACCTCGGAACATACAACGCAACAAACGACGGGACAAACAACAACGCAAACATCGGAACGCTCCACGGAACATACAACGCAACAAACGACGGGGCAAACAACAATGCAAACAACGGAATTCTCCACACTTGAACCAACCACATTATCCACAACAGCTAAAACAACAGTACTCCCAACCACTGCCATTCCAACAACAGAGAAAACTACTACAGAAACGACTGCAAAATCAACCATGAAGACTACACAGGTAAAAATCACTAAATCGGTCAATAATCGAGATGAAAAAAATTGCATTTCAATCATTGTAAACACAACATTTCTTCATGCATTCTGCTCTAAGTCCAATCACTTTCTGACCTTATAGAAAACAACGAGATCAACTACACTAAAACCAACAACACTTCAGTCAACAGCACAAACAACACAACTCACAACTGAGAAGACGTCAGCTGAACCCACAACGGAGCGCACAACAAAACAAACATCGGAACACACCACGTTCCAACCATCTACAAAATCCACAACAGTTCAAACAACATTGCGTACTGTCATTCCAACACCACAGAGAACGACTGCAAAAACAACTGCAAAATCTACACTGCAAACCACACAGGTAAAGATCTTCATGAGACAAATAAACATACATACGTCAAGACAGGGTGTTTAGGATTCGGTGATAAAACTATTTGTCTCTTCTTTTGACAGAAAAGTACCATTTTGACTTCAAAACCGACAACTGAGACAACGGTACAAACAACATTGTTAACAACACAGAAAACAACACCAGAACCTACGACAGAACACACTACTGCCACAACAACCACGTTACCAACGACGGTAAAAACATCTGAACGTTCGACAAGTAAAACAACAACAGAAACTACGACCAGCAAAACAACGCTACCCACAACAGTAGAAACTACCATTTTAACAACACAAAAAACAACACCAGAACCTACGACAGAGCAAACTACTGCCACAACAACCACGTTACCAACGACGGTAAAAACATCTGAACGTTCGACAAGTAAACAAACAACAGAAGCTACGACCGCTAAAACGACTGCGCACACAACCATATTCACAGTTACACCCACAAAAGAGTCGACCACTGCTAGCAGCACCGCAAAAACTACGACACAAACGACGGAGGTAAATCATTGAAATAAGCAGGAAAATCATATGCTAACAGTACCACTACTTAACTACTTATATCCAACAACTAGTCACCTACATATCCCTTGATAACTACAAGTATGACTGCTTACACTTCTAGAAACACAAGACTAAAGCTACAAAAACATACAGTTGCTATAGATCCTCTTTAAGGAGGCGATAAAATACAGGTATCTTCTTTTAACAGGAAACTACCATTGTGACTTCAAAACCGACATCAGCTGAGACAACAATACAAACAACAATGTTAACAACACAGACAACAACACCAGAACATACTACTGACAAAACAACGTCATTACCTACAACGGTAAAAACATTAGGACGTTCTACAGGTGCAACAACCACAGCGACAACGACGCCACACACAACCATATTTACAGTTACACCAACAAAAGAGTCAACAACTGCACGCACCACGGCTAAAACTACGACAGGAACAACTACTACATACATTACCACTTCGCAAACCACAGTACCAACAACNATCAACTCTGCAAACTACGCAGGTAATAGTCACGAAATTAGTCAAACTTGTTGGTCATTGTCATTTTACATAGTAGTTTCAATGTATAATGCAAGATTAGAAAACATATCATTTAATACTCAGTCTGAACGATTTGTTTTCAACACATAGCAAACAACCATCTCAACTTCAGTGGAACCTACAACACGTAAATCAACGATAGAAACAACGCCGCTTACAACACAAAAGACGACGGTTGCAAAGACCTCGGAACATACAACGCAACAAACGACGGGACAAACAACAATTCAAACATCTGAACGCTCCACGAAACATACAACGCAACAAACGACGGAGCAAACAACAATGCAAACATCGGAACCCTCCACGCTTGAACCAACCACATTATCCACAACAGCTAAAACAACAGTACTTCCAACCACTATTGTTGCAACGACAGAGATAACTACTGCAGGAACGACTGCAAAATCAACCATGAAGACTACACAGGTATAGTTAACTTAATCGGTCAATATTGGAGATCAACAAACTATATATTTCGATTATTGTAAAATGCAACATTAGATTAAACATTCTACTCAAAGTCCAATCACTTTCTGTCCTGACAGAAAACGACCAGTTCGACCACACTAAAGCCAACAACACTTCAGTCAACAGTACAAACAACACAACTTACAACGGAGAAGACATCAGTTGAGCCCACATCGGAACACACCACGTTTCAACCAACTACAGCATTCACAACTATTCAAACAACGGTACAACCAACCACTATCATTCCAACAACAGAAAGGACAACTGTAGAAACAACTGCAAAATCAACCCAGCAAACTACACAGGTAAAACAAATCACTAAATCGGTCCATATTGTAGATCAACAAACTATACTCCTATCATTGCAAACTCAATATTAGATCATTCATTCGACTCAAAGTGCAATTACTTGCTGCCCTTACAGAAAACAACCAGTTCGACCACACTGAAACCAACAACACTTCAGTCAACAGTACAAACAACACAACTCACAACTGAGAAGACGTCAGCTGAACCCACAACGGAGCGTACAACGAAACAAACATCGGAACACACTACGTTTCAACCATCTACAAAATCCACAACAGTTCAAACAACAATGCGTACTGTCCTTCCAACAACACAGAGGACTACTGCAGAAACGACTGCAAAGTCAACTCTGCAAACTACGCAGGTAACAGTCATTCAGAATAGTCAAACGTGTTGGTCAGCATCATTTCACATAGTAGTTAATATAGAATGCAAGATTAGAACACATATTTTTTAATACTCAGTCTTAACTATTTGTTTTCAACACATAGCAAACAACCATTTCAACTTCAGTGGAACCTACAACACGTAAATCAACGATAGAAACAACGCCGCTAACAACACAAAAGACGACGGTTGCAAAGACCTCGGAACATACAACGCAACAAACGACGGGACAAACAACAATTCAAACATCGGAACGCTCCACGGAACATACAACGCAACAAACGACGGGGCAAACAACAATGCAAACAACGGAATTCTCCACACTTGAACCAACCACATTATCCACAACAGCTAAAACAACAGTACTCCCAACCACTGTTGTTGCAACGACAGAGATAACTACTGCAGGAACGACTGCAAAATCAACCATGAAGACTACACAGGTAAAAATCAACTTAATCGGTCAATAATGTAGATAGATGAAAAAATCTACCTTCTAATTTAAGAGCGAACTCAATATTATATTATATATTCTACTCAAATTCCAACTATTTGCTGTCCTTACAGAAAACGACCAGTTCAACTACACTGAAGCCAACAACACTTCAGTCAACAGTACAAACAACACAACTCACAACAGAGAAGACGTCAGCTGAACCCACAACTGAGCGCACAACAAAACAAACATCGGAACACACCACGTTTCAGCCATCTACAAAATCCACAACTATTCAAACAACGTTACAACCAACCACTATAATTCCAACCACAGAGAGAACAACACAAAAGACGACGGTTGCAAAGACCTCGGAACATACAACGCAACAAACGACGGAGCAAACAACAATGCAAACAACGGAATTCTCCACGCTTGAACCAACCACATTATCCACAACAGCGAAAACAACAGTGCTTCCAACCACTGTTGTTGCGACGACAGAGAGTTCTACGGCAGAATCAACTGCAAAATCAACCGTGCAGACTACACAGGTAAAAGTTGATTAAATCAGCCGATTATGTACATCAGCAAACTATATTTCAATCATTATAAATGCAATATTACATCATGCATTCTACTCAGAGTCCAATCACTTTCTGACCTTACAGAAAACGACCAGTTCGACCACACTGAAGCCAACAACACTTCAGTCAACAGTACAAACAACACAACTCACAACGGAGAAGACGTCAGCTGAACCCACAACGGAGCGCACAACAAAACAAACATCGGAACACACCACGTTTCAACCATCTACAAAATACCACAACAGTTCAAACAACATTGCGTACTGTCATTCCAACAACACAGAGGACAACCGCAGAAACGACTGCAAAATCAACTCTGCAAACTACGCAGGTAATAGTCACCAAATTAGTCAAATGTTTGTCATAAGCTTTTTAGATATGTTTAGTATAGTATGCAAGATTAGTACATACATTTTATACTCAGGTCTAACAATTCATTTTCAACACATAGCAAACAACCATGTCAACTTCATTGGAACCAACGACACGTAAATCAACGATAGAAACAACGCCGATAACAACACAAAAAGACGACGGTTGCAAAGACCTCGGAACATACAACGCAACAAACTACGGGCCAAACAACAATGCAAACATCGGAACGCTCCACGGAACATACAACGCAACAAACGACGGGGCAAACAACAATGCGAACAACGGAATTCTCCACAGTTGAACCAACCACATTATCCACAACAGCTAAAACAACAGTTCTCGCTACCACTGCCATTCCAACAACAGAGAAGACTACTACTGAAACGACTGCAAAATCAACCATTCGGACTACACAGGTAAAACAAATCACTAAATCGGTCAATAATCGAGAAGAAAAAAATTACATTTCAATCATTGTAAACACGACATTTCATCATGCATTCTGCTCTAAGTCCAATCACTTTCTGACCTTATAGAAAACAACGAGATCAACTACACTGAAACCAACAACACGTCAGTCAACAGTACAAACAACACAACTCACAACTGAGAAGACGTCAGCTGAACCCACAACAGAGCGCACAACAAAACAAACATCGGAACACACCACGTTTCAACCATCTACAAAATCCACAACAGTTCAAACAACATTGCGTACTGTCATTCCAACACCACAGAGAACCACTGCAAAAACAACTGCAAAATCTACACTGCAAACCACACAGGTAAAGATCTTCATGAGACAAATAAACATACATACAGTAAGACAGGGTGTTTAGGATTCGGTGATAAAACTATTTTTCCCTTCTTTTGACAGAGAAGTACCATTTTGACTTCAAAACCGACAACTGAGACAACGGTACAAACAACATTGTTAACAACACAGAAAACAACACCAGAACCTACTACAGAACACATTGCTGCCACAACAACCACGTTACCAACGACGGTAAAAACATCTGAACGTTCGACAAGTAAAACAACAACAGAAACTACGACCAGCAAAACAACAACGCTACCCACAACAGTAGAAACAACCATTTTAACAACACAAAAAACAACACCAGAACCTACGACAGAGCACACTACTGCCACAACAACCACGTTACAAACGACGGTAAAAACATCTGAACGTTCGACAAGTAAACAAACAACAGAAGCTACGACCGCTAGAACGACGCCACACACAACCATATTCACAGTTACACCCACAAAAGAGTCGACCACTGCTAGCAGCACCGCCAAAACTACGACACAAACGACGGAGGTAAATTATGGGAATAAGCAGGAAAATTAGATGCTAACAGTACCACTACTTACCTACTTATATCCAACAAATAGTCACCTACGTATCCCTTGATAACTACAAGTATGACTGCTTACACTTCTAGAAACACAAGACTAAAGCTACATGAACCATACAGTTGCTATAGATCCTCTTTAAGGAGGCGATAAAATACAGGTATCCTCTTTTAACAGGAAACTACCTTTCTGACTTCAAAACCGACATCAGCTGAGACAACGGTACAAACAACAATGTTAACAACACAGACAACAACACCAGAACATACTACAGAACATACTACTGACAAAACAACGACGTTACCTACAACGGTAAAAACATTAGGACGTTCTACAGGTGAAACAACCACAGCGACAACGACACCACACACAACCATATTTACAGTTACACCCACAAAGGAGTCAACAACTGCACGCACCACGGCCAAAACTACGACAGGAACAACTACTACATACATTAACACTTCGCAAACCACAGTACCAACAACACTACAAACTACACACAGTAGACAGGTATCCTGGCTCAATACATCATAACAATTATTATTCAATATTTATTAGTCATGCTAACCTCTATTCTTGTTAGGTAATTACTGTTCTCAATTTTCTGAAAATAACATCCGAGTCAATAATACCAACAATGCAGACAATACAGGAAGCATTAACTACAGAAACATTACAGCATATGACAAACAACACAAACATTAGACCATTCTACAGCTAGAGTATCCAAACTATAAAGAACTCCTCTAACAACATAGCTTCCGACCTCACTTGCTCCCACAACAGAGATTAGAGCTTTACAACGCACAACAATACACACTAGTACACAGGAAGAAAATGATGCAATGATTGATTGCATAAAAAATTAAATTATTGAATCAAATTCAACATCTGGAAAGCAAAATCGCAAACTTAAGACAATGTGTTTAGGATGCGGTGATAAAACTATTTGTCTCTTCTTTTGACAGAGAACTACAATTTTGACTTCAAAACCAACTACATCTCGGACAACAGTAGAAACAACCATTTTAACAACACAGAAAACAACACCAGAACCTACGACAGAACACACTACTGGCACAACAACCACGTTACCTACGACGGTTAAAACATCTGAACGTTCGACAAGTAAACAAACAACAGAAGCTACGACCGCTAAAACGACTGCGCACACAACCATATTCACAGTTACACCCACAAAAGAGCCGACCACTGCTAGCAGCACCACAAAAACGACGACACAAACGACGGAGGTAAATTATTGGAATGAGCAGAAAAATTAGATGTTAACAGTACCAGTTACCTACTTATATCCAACAACTAGTCACCTACATATCCCTTGACAACTACAAGTATGACTGCTTACACTTCTAGAAACACAAGACTAAAGCTACAAAAACATACAGTTGCTATAGATCCTCTAGAGGGAGGCGATAAAATACCCGTTTCCTCTTTTAACAGGAAACTACCATTTTGACTTCAAAACCGACATCAGCTGAGACAACGGTACAAACAACAATGTTAACAACACAGAAAACAACACAAGAACCTACTACAGAACATACTACTGACAAAACAACGACGTTACCTACAACGGTAAAAACATTAGGGCGTTCTACGGGTGAAACAGCCACAGCGACAACGAAGCCACACACAACCATATTTACAGTTACACCAACAAAAAAATCAACAACTGTACGCACCACATCCAAAACTACGACAGAAACGACAGAGGTAAATTATTGTACTTAGCAGATGGTGTATGCATATAGCAAAGAAACCAACACTGCCTACAATAC